TAAATGTCGTAATCTTGTTTATTATCAAACTTCGTTTTCCTTCGAACACATCGATTTGAAAATGTTATTGAACATATTATGGTCTGGAAGAGAGAAAGTATTCTATAGGTAAAGTCTGTTTCTAATGTTCGTTCTTTTTTTCGGTTGTATGTGTGAGTTGATGGCCTTTCAAACATTACTTTGTTTTCAGCGATAAGCCTGGGGGCTTATTACGCTAAACATTGGGTTTCGATACCCCTAGAGGGTACAGCAAAGAGAGCCAATTATATAGTATTGTGCTTAACACAAACAAATTAAAAAATATATATATTATGTTTATTATGCAAGTTTGAGGGACTATGGAATGTATATACACACATAGCGAAAAGAACCGTTTATAAATTGTTAGGAGCTGGATGTAATTCGTAAAATATGAAAAATATAAAATGGTTATACTCCAACTGTGTTATTTCTAAATATATTTGATGTTGTTTAAAACTAATATCCAAACTTTAAAATCGTACATAAAAGAAACATTAAGATTATTTGAAACAACAGCAAATAAAGACTCAAATTCTGAAGAAAATACACGTGGTTCCAATGAGTTTTTTGTATTATTATGTGACAAAAACAAACATTAACAAGAAAATGAAGTTGTACACTTGGTATCAAACTTTCAGTCTCCATGATGAAATGTCTCCAGTGACTCAGCGATAAGTTCGAGGGCTTATACGCTGTAAACTAAGGTTTGATATCGGATGTAGGCAAATCGCACATAGTCCATTGTATAGTTTTGCATTTGAGGTCAAACAAAACAAACCATGGTGAAACACACAATGCTATTCCTGTTTATGATCCGATGTGTGATGAAGCAGTATATAAGACAAATTACATTTCAAGTACATGTAAAGAAACTTATTACGTTTAAAAATTTATAACATTCTCATTTCTAGAGAAATTACATTTAAATCAAAGAATATGAATGTAGTGATGCAGACGACGGTCAGATATTTCAAAGAGAATAACATATAGTGCAAATAATTAAACATAAACTTTTTAACAAGTCATTTTTTTTTGTGGAACAAAAGTACAAATAAGTAATGATTGTGACAAATGAAATTTCAAGCAATGCAATTTAGTGAATATGAAAATCGCAGCTTCAACAGACTTGGATTTTTGATTGAAATTTGTTATGCCTACTTGTAACATTGAAAAGCAGAAAAGCATCAAAAACATAAAAGAAATATATAAAATATATGCCCTCAGTCGCACAGCGCATGTCTGCGGACTTATAACGCTAGAATCCGGGTTTCGATACCCGTAGTGGGCAGAGCACAGATAACCCATTGTGTAACTTTGTGCCTAATTACAAGCAAACAATAAAAATATACATTTTTATTTTCATAAAGCTTTTCTCTTATATCCACCTATCCATAACGAAAATAAAATTATAATGGTTAAGAAAAGAAAGTAAATAACATATTAATCCAAAATTTAATGTTTTACCAAATCACTGAAACTATTCATAATGAATAAGATTTAGTTTAATCAAAGAATCGACTTATAAAACTTGAATATTTGTCTAATAGGGGTTAAAAACAATAAACAATATTTTATAGCAGAAAACAGTATACGTGCAAAATTTATAGTGCACCATCTACAATTCATATAACATGTGTTAAACAGAAGCATTTATAAATAAGCAATATGTCGTATTTTGTTTTGTGAAAAATTGAATATTTTGAAGTTTGAAACATATCTGTCTTGGATTAACAGCGGCTACTGATCAGTAAAGGTATTTTTTACTTCAATCATGTATTGGTTATTAGCTATTTCAATGGATGACGATGAAGATGGTCTTTTTTCAATCATGAGGGACGAACCAACCATTACCTATTTGCAGCAGATTCATTTATCAATTAAATGTAAAAAAAGTATACGTTTGACATTACATAATACAACGTGCATAGGTTACTACTTCACAATTATAATAG